GAATCTGTGGCTTTTATCATTGGCTAAACTGAAACAAAAAAGAAAAATAAACTCTGCCATCAAATAAATACGTCTTTTATGATCACCTGGGTGAGTATATGTGCTTCACACTATGAGTGGATCTCCTCCAAGTAACAAGTTTGTTATTGTTGGTGCCCTTTGGTCAGCAATGCGTCTCTTTTAGCCCGTGTTCACTCTCCATGGTAGCCAACTGTTGCGCTCCCAGGGTTGGTTCAGAGGCACGTTACAGCGTCAGAATGATGGGGGTCGGGATTGTTTTATTTTTGCAGCAGAGCCACCTGTTAATTACGTGGCAAGATGTAAGTTGCCAACACAATTGAGCACGTCCGGCCGGATTTAGAATAATCCTTAGACATTGCCGAGTTGAGACGAGAAGCTTAGCTGTAAACTTGACAGGATGCTATAAAACTGATTAATACGTCATAATTTCAAAGGAGTTAAAAATATCCATTGTTTTTCCTTTGTTTTTACTAATTAAAATCTGCTCAAGTGGTGTTCTTTTTTTTTTCAGATCCCTTTACGCTGATATCCACTTAATAAAATCTAGTCCAGCCATTTGCTTTTAGAAGTCAGTCATGTCTCTTTGTCTGGGAGCTGGCGTAGAGTTACTTAAGGCCAGTTTTTGTCTGGAACAGAGACACTCTGCCTGAGGCTAATGCAAATCACCCAAATCTTAGCTGAACTCATTCAGAATTATCTAAATTATCTGTTTAACTTGTCACCAGATGTTTTAGATTTACTGGACAGGTGGCCTAGTTGAGGGTCTGCAAGTTTCATTCTAAACTAAGCCAGCCTTTCTCATCCAACATCAGTGTTTGACCTCACGAATACTGAAAAAGTCTACAGAGCTGTTGGAGAAAATTTAGCTGCAAAGCCTGGGCCATTTAAAACCCTGGGATGGGATGTCATTAAAATTCACATTTGTGTGAAGGATTCAGTATTTATAGAAATATAGTGTGGCTAAAACAAGGACAACATGGATTCAAAAGTCCGTATTTTAACTTTTAATCTCTCTCCTGCAGCTGCACGGATGATGAATGATCAACACATTTATGGTCCTGCAGGCCCCTCAATCTGTGGGACAGGTTTTCTGGTCGGTTAGAAGGCAGGTGGATAACGGGAACAGGAAACTCAAACTTTATTTAAAATCATGTCAACAGTGTGAGCAGTCTCACCCTTGGATGTGCATGAAAACTAACAGAGAGTGACGGAGGGAACTCAACCAAGAAGGTGACTCAGGAAATGAAAGTGATGTCACCTGTGCAGGTGAGTCATCAGTGTGCAGGAGACTTAATCCTTTAAGTTGCAAAATTTTAGCTAGCAGCGGGTTTGGAGCCTTTTAAAGTTGTTAAAATATATATTTTGAAATATAAAATTGTAGCAATAACCACACGAGTTAATACAGCACTGCCTTAATGTAAACACATTCATGCTTAAATTGAGTCTGTGTTCCTCTTTTTGTGGTTTTCATTGCTCCACATTCTTCCTCTTCTGTGTGCCTATCACACGTCCCTCAAAGAAGTCGTCCGTTGCGCACCGTGGCTCAATCAGACTGCAATCAAGTGAAAACCAGTGGACTTAGGAGGAAGTTATAAACTTGATCGCACAATCAAGGCTCACACCGCTGGTCACATGTCGAGCAGGGTGCCGTTATGAAATGGGGAATTTGTTGCAAAACCAGTTTAACTTGCATTTTACACGTATCACACAATATGTTCAGTTAATCTCATGTGTTGCAGGCCTTTCAAATAAGGGGGTGTGAGCAAGGTTATGAATATTTTATGAGCCTCTGAACAATGGCCTTTTTGAATGGAGCTGGAAGATAATCGGACAGATGCACTTGATTGCAGCTGCCGCAACACAAATCCACTGCAAACATTTCACTGTGCTGCTACTGTTGAAGACACCAAGCATCTGCATTTGCCAGATTGGATCGGTTACTCTTGTGAAATTGATTTTGTCGCTGCTCTCTTATTTATTTTATTTTATTTATTTTTTTCTGGAACAGATGCATTTCCCTGAACAAATTACAAGCTTTTTTTTTTTTTTTCTCTTCCCCCATCCACCTTCCTCTCCAAAAAAACATGCTCTGTGTTGCCTGGCTCAGTGACACAGGCCTCGCCACGCAAAGCCAAGACTAAGATGTGTGAGGAAAGCCAAGGCACATGAAGAACCTATTAGGGGGCCTAGCAGCCAGCAGCAACTCTGGGAGGCCAGCCAACTGAGTGTGTGAACAATGGGAACCCAGCTCAACAAAAACATCCTGCAGAAGTGAGGGAGGGAGGGAGAGACAGGCCAGATAACCCGACTTGGCTGCAACGGTATCAAAACACAGAAGGGCTGGTTTTTGAAGGAGCTAACTTGCCCTTCTGTTTGCATCTGACAGAGAAAATGCATCAGGTCAGTGCAGTTCATGAGCTGGAAACCTTTGAGTTGAGGTTAAGAGCAGTTCAGCTGCAGCTCAGACGAGAGGGTTCAACAGCTGCTTCAACCGATACCACACGGTTTTTACGTGTCAGAGAAACCAGAAGAAAGAAAAACTGTACTCCTTTCTTGATTGAAAACTCCCTAAAAACCACAACCATCCTTTCCATCTCAGTTGCAACGTGTTTTTTCTTCTTTCTTTTTTTTTTTTTTTTATACCAACGCGGCCAACACCCAGAAAGTGTCGCAAGAGAAACACCTCAATCATGTGAAATCTTTTGCTGCTTTTCCCACGACCTATTTATGTAGCAACACAATATCGCATGCAGCACAGGATGTCAAACCTGACTCAAATAAACGTTTAATTTCAAAATATGCAACTGACGAGGCTCGTGAACAAAAATAGCTTTGGTAATTACCTAACAGAAACCTAAAATTCCCAGCACGTACATTAGAAACTAAGACCGAAATCTTAACAAAACATGACGGCTGATGTTTCCTAATCCTTACACTCACAAACTGTACAACCGTGTCGTCACTTTATCTTAGCCAGAATCCAGCTGTTCTGCGAAGGGTTCAGAGAATTAATGGAGAATATTGCAGAATAAACAATGTCATGAAAGCCAACGGACACGCCACAGATCCGAGACAAAGCTGTGCAGACGTTTAAAGCAGGGTTAGGTGCAAAACAACAAGCTGTGAACATCTCACTAAGTTCAATTTATTATGCAATGATAGAAAAAAAAAATATGTCACATGTCTAAACTAAACATGAATGTCCACTTAACTGACAGACAGGAGAGCGTTCATGAGAGTACCAGCCAAGAGGCCTGCGTTGACTCTAAAGAAGGGGGGAAAAGATTCATAGTTCAGGTGGGGAAAATCAGTTGAAAGGACAACCATCAGTCACCCATGTCACGTTTTCAAAAACAAAGCAACAAGAAGTTCACTCTGCAAGGTCAGGGCAAACATGTGGAGAAATGTGCTCTATTCAGATGAGACCAAAAATAAACTCTCTACTCAACATGTGAAACACTCCACATCACTCTGAACATTGAAGATGGGGATGCTTTTTTTTTTTTTACCAGAGAACAGTGTAAGAAAAAAACCTGCTAGAGACTACAAAAAATAAAAAATAAAAAAAGGTCAGGGGTGTAGAATCACCTTCCTGCAGGACAGTGGCATCATCCATACAGCCAGAGATACAACGGACATGAAAGTTGCTATCCAGTCAAACTGAGTTTGAGTTATTTACTATTTCAAGTCATGTTTACTTTTTCTTCTGCTTTCTAAATTATGCATTAATCTCTGTAAGACTAAAGCATAAATTGTCAATGAAACACGTTGACATTTGTGGCTAACAATTGCAGCCAACAAATGAGTCTTTTCTTTTTTATGTTTGAACTGAAAGTTATTGCAAGATTTTAACAAGACTACATGTTGCAAGCAGAACCAAAACAAAATGGGTTGAAAACAGTGATCTGTTTTACGCTCACTAAAGTGAGTTTTGTGTTATTTTACCACAAAAGTTTAGACTTTTGTGAACACAAAAATAATCTGAAAGCATTGAAGACCAAAATAAAGGTCAGAACAGCTGAATAAGTGCAAAAGTTGTACGAGGGAAGAGTTTTTTGGAAAGTGTGTGTACGCATCGTGCGCAAATGTGTGCGTGTGTGTGTGTGGGTCTTCATGGGTAACATAAAACCATCTCTCCCACAACACACACAGGGGAGGGGACCCTACTTTAAAACTGAGCCTACCCACAATGCACCAGGCTCCTTTATCCCGGCAGTGAAAGGATGAGGCCATGATGAATGACAAAAGGGGAAAACTGGGATCTGAGCTGTGCCCGACTTGGAAGTCTGGGAGGTGGTGGGAGGGGAGGTGCATCTTCCAAAACCAAATCCTTCCATGAACAAAATCCAGCAGGACGAAAAGGAAGAAACTCATCCATACACAAGATCCTTTTTTTTTTCTTTTTTTTTTTCTTTTTTTAGTTTAATGATTTCTTTACTGGCTTGTACACAAACGTACAAAAATAATACAGCACTCATCTCAATGTGACGTCACGTCACCATCATCACAGTGTTACAAATGTTCAAAAAGAAAAGTATACAAAAAAATAATAAAACAGACAAGATGGAACATCTGCATCACTCATTAAAGATTCATCTGTTTCCTTTTGCTTGAAATGAAGCAAGACCAGAAACACATGCTGACTGACCCAAAAAAAAAAAAATATCTGCACTTACTCACTTTCTTTCTTTTTTTTTCTTCTCCATTTTTTCTAGAAAAAAAATATCATCTCACTCATGTACACCATTCCGACAGCTGGCTCTGCGCGTCATAAATGTTATGACTCGGTGAGCCGTATAACCACACAAGCGTGCAATTTTTAACCACGTTACAATGATCTTACCATCAAATGTATTATTCCCCCTTTTAAAACGACACAACAGGAAGACAGCACTTCAGAAAAGAAAGTGCCCCAAGATATCATCATCATCATCAGCATTGATATATATATCCATATGTATATATACATACACCCAATCACAGAAATACACACATCTTTGTTGAAAAACATGTTTTTTTTTTCCACAAAGTAAAACATACATTAGAACATTATCACCTGGAGCGTATACAATAGTATTTTGTTGTGTTTGTTTGTTGTTTTTTTTCTATTCAGAAAAAAATTAAATGTTGACACATAAAAGCCAACTTTTCAACAACAGTCATCAGTGCAATATTTTTTTTTCTTAACAAAAAAAAAAAAAAAAAAGAAAGATCAAGTTTAAACACAAGCGATGCATATTTTATTTGTTGCCTGATGTGAATCTATACCTTGTCGTAGTGGAGCTTTATGAAAGGATTCCGGATGATTATTCCAGGGAAGCTTCTGAGTCTGGCTGATGGCTGTTTGAAAGCCAGTCACACGGGCCCCCATGAGAAGCAAACACAAACACATGTCAGGCTCACGTGGAAATAAAAGACACTTAAAAAAAAAAAAGCTTCTCATGAGTTAGACCAATGTTGCTGTGAAGCTGTAGGCTTTAAAAAATAATCATCAATTAGAAAATACACAAAACAAGCAGCATTGTTAAAAAAAACAGTTAGGGTGACATGACTTTCAAAATATAGCAGGCAAGCTTACAAAATCCAATTTTTCTTTTTCATTTATTGTGTGACATCCTGCAATAGTCATGTGTATTTATTTATTTTTTTCATAAAGTCTTCATCATCCATCAGTAAGAAGAATCCTGCTCAGTAGTAGAAAATATTCCAAAGCCTTCTGAAGTTACCCCGTTTGAACACTAGGGGTGCGCAAGGCTCTGTATTTTTGTGCAATAAAACTCCCTGCATTTATAAGTCATGCTATACAATGAAAAAAAATAAAAAATAAAACAGGCTGATGAGGAAACAGAGAGAGGAAGAAAGAGTAAAGTGGAGTTCAGAGGCAGAGGGGGGAGGGGGCCTCATGCTTTAGTCAGCACTGGTTTGGTTGTAGTGTAACATAAACTGTCCTGACTGAGGAATGCTTTGCATCTTCTGCACCAAAGTCCATCGTCTCTGTTAAGGTTACATAGCAGACAGATACTGGCATGACTGGCACGGCAAGCTGGGAGGAGGCGGGACAGCTTGAGAATACTTTATAGACGAGGTAGCTGGGAAAAGGGCAACCAAACAAAAAAAAGAAAAGTCAGTTTAATTGAAAAGTCCTCTTGAGGGTCAACAGGCTAAAGCTGTGTGGGTCATCTAAGGAGGAGGAGGGGGGAAGTGAAGGGAGGTTGCAGGTTTGCACTCAAAAAAAAAAATATTTAAAGAAGAGTCTGAAGCAGCTTGAGTCACCCACTGAACTCTGACTCTACAGGTGTTTTTCTTTTAAAAAGTAGAACCACAACATATTCAAAAATGCATCTTTTCAATGTACCTTCATAAATATAAAAGAAAAAAAACAATAAAATCAGCCTGCTTTCACAGTGATGACTAGGATGTTAACAGAATACTGAAAGGAGATTATAAAGTGAAATCCAAATTTTCCTTTTTTTTTTTTTTTTTTTTCTTTAATGACATACAAAGCAAAAGCAGCGGTTCTTAATACGATGACCACCAGGGCAGAGTGGTCGCACTGGCCTGAAAGTTTGGGACACCAGCAATGGCAAAATGTGTGTTTGCAGAGCCCATTCAGCTTCTGTCAAAAAGGTAAAGCTATTGTGTACAGTACTTCACAACAACGATGGAGTCACTCACAGGGTTCCGACGCTGTATGGAAAAATGAAATAAACTCTGGAAAAACGTGTCTGTCTCCAGACTTTATTCACTGTCCCGTTGTCGAAATGCTGCATCCAGGCGTGCTTGGAATCTGTGATTTTTGCAGGTTTCCTTTTCCAAAGCTTGACCTCAATCAAATAAAACGTCTAAAGTAAGTAGAGAGTGAACTTTGCAAAATGAGAACTCTGTTGATGCGAGTCCAGAAAACATGTGGAGTCGTGACAAGAAAAATGAGCAGGAACCCTGAATACATAAGAAAAAAAATATATTGAGCTGTGTGATCCTCATTTTGAGTTTATAATATGAATTAATTTAGGAAAAAAGAGAGACCAACAGAGGGCTTCTCCTCCTGTTCATGTGTCTTCCCTTTCAGATATTCCAGCATGCAGCCGAGCAGCATCAAGTGCCGTGTTTCACATAAAAATAACTTACAAAAAAAAGTGGGTATTTTTACAGGACAATGAGGAGCAACAGGTCAAATCTGCACTCCCACAAAGAAACGATTCACTTTGAATGAAAAAACTGGGCCATCTGCACTCCACTATCCACACACACGCACACACACGCACACACACACACACACACACACACACACACACACACACACACAGCAACACAGATAAGGTGTGACAGTTTCTTCTACAATGACACGATGTTGTATGAACATTCAAGACAAAAGCTTTAAGTACCAACAAGCTCACCGGAGTGAGGTGCTTTTTTGTGAGAGATTCATAATGAAGCGCTGCGTGATTGTGTGTGAGACAGAACCGGCCCAAGGAATAAGTGAAAAAGAGCACTGCTTAGGGCCCCAAAACAATCAGAAGGGGGCCCATGTTTTGGAAAGAATATAAAGGTAAAAAATTACGGGTTTATATAGTGAAATTAGTTTAGTTTTATAATTGATTAGATTGTTTCAGGAAAGATCATTAAAAAGATAAGAAATTCTTTAAAAAAAAAAAAAAGAACAGCAAATGTACTAACAGTAAATAACTACAGTGCAGTTAAATGTTTTGTGCTTAAATTATCATTTTTGCACACTGTAACTGGATTTGAATAAGTCTAATTTATTTATTTAATTTATTGGTCTGGGAAAAAGTTGCAAATATTAAACCATAAAGTGCTGAAAAACACAGCTAGCTTAAATATCACAAGAAGGTCGAACTTCTGGGATGCTTGGGTTTAGATGGTCTGCATCGGTTTTGCTTTAGGTCTAGAAACAGTCAAATTTTTCCCATCTTCAAAGAAACCTGTGATTTAACTCTTCCAATGGTCGCTGGTGATTAATTGAAAAAGTATGCCCCCCCCCCCCCCCCCCCCAAAAAAAAGATCTAATTCTGCTAAAGGCCCCTTACAACCTCGGGACGGCTCTGGTCTGAGTGAACCATGCGGTGCGCACAGATGGCCCTGTTTGGTTTACAGAAAGGGGAGATTTTTGCGCAATTTGATTTCCTTTCCATATATTTTGGCACAAATATGTAAATAATGGTAGCTATGTTTTGAAAAGAGCATGCTTTCTCCTTGCCTTGCAGTTCTAAGAGTGAATTTGTTGCTGATGTGTTTTGCTCTTTTCCTTCTTCTTCTTCTCCTGTCTCTCTTTAATGTTCTACTTTTACCTGACAGCAGAGACAGATCACCGGGCCCCAGAGGAATACTTGGCCTTGGTGATGAGGTATAGCACAATGTCCTGGTGGCCCCCGAAGGCGGCAATGTGTAAAGCGCTCCACCCTTCCCTGTTCGCCAGTCGGATGTCTGCGCCGAACTTCACCAGCAGCTTCACCAGCTCCAGGTTGCCGTCGATGACGGACTGGTGGAGCGCTGTCTGTCCCTCCGGCCCGAAGGAGTTGACGTTGAACTCGCAGTTTGTCATGTTCTGCAGCAGCGAGTGCAGCTCCTTTGTGTTCCCCTTCTTCACTGCCTCCTGGAAGACCCTCTGCGGCGCGGAGCAAGTCGACACATCCGCCTGGCTCATGGTGGCAACTCGCTGAAGTCTGAGGAGGGGGGGGGGGGGGGATGAGAAATAATCCTGCCTCGGCTTCTAAAACTCTGTCGAGCGTCTCTGGTCTGGTAACAGTGCCACAGTTATGCTGGATTACACCCAGTTTTAAGGCACTTTAAACGGTGGAAGGTCACTGGATATATCCCAAAAAGGACAAGAGGGAAAACGGCACACCTGGTGTGCAAAAACGTTAATATTCGAGAAATCCTAAATCCCCTAAAACATAAAAGTGTCAAGGAGCGCTCCAGGGGTCTCTGGATGTAATTTTCATTCTCTAGTAGCAGCAGCAGCAGCAGCAGCAGCAGCAGCAGGGAGCCTGGACAGGGAGATGAAGAAGAGACACCTCCGATTTCACTGGGGAGACTGGAAGTATGACCACAATCACCAAAGGGCAGCCTCCTCGTTGTTGGGTCCCGCCGGCTTTCCTCCAGCAGTCCAACCAGCTTCCTGGCTATATGTGGCTGCTCATGTGGCCATGCAGACGTCTGGGAGAGACAAAAATCATTTTCAAAAAAAAAAGAAAAAAAAAAAAAAAAAAAAAGAAAAATCAGAAAAGATGTCCGCATGTATCCAAATTCCTTACACACATTCCGCCACATCCAAGAACGAGACAGCGCGACAGAGGAGAGGAGAGCTCTGTGCGCACACGTTTACGCACGGATTTCCCCAGGCTTGCGTCCCGCAGCCAAACTGCAATCCGCTGACTTACCTGCGTCAGATGGACGGGTCCGTGTTGTGGCGACAGACAAACCACGTTTGCGGGGCCCCGGGATGCGTGTGTTCCTCCTCCTCGCGGTCCTTATGAGTCTCTGCCCTGCGCCGTGCTCCGGGGGAATAGTTTTACGCGTCCTTTATTTGCATGACAATGCCTTCCCGAAGAATCAACTGTGGAGGAATGGGCGGAGAAGCGCGGAGGTTATAGGCTGCCGGCTGGGTTAGAGGGAGGGATCTGAGCCTTGCCTGTGTGTCTGTGGGGTGGGCGGCTTGGTTTTCAGAGAGAGAGAGAGAGAGAGAGAGAGAGAGAGAGAGAGAGAGAGAGAGAGAGGGCTGCTTGTGGTGGGGGGGTTTGCAGGTCCAAATAATGTTGCCACAGAATGTTTCTGTTTTGAGCTTTATATCTGATATCCTGCTTGCCACGCAGTGCTGCCAATTGAAAGGAGTGTCGCAATAAGAACCGATGAGGTATTATGGTCAACGTGCAGGGCCGGATAAAAATTATTTGGGGCCCTGAGACTGGACACCACAGTTCAACTTATTTCTCATTTTAATCATCCGTACTTGAATGTCTCATGGTATAATAAACTTAAGTAAAAGTACTATGGTTTCTTGGTGTTATACAAACATTTACTGGAAAAATATAGAACATGATGTGTTCTTAAAAACAAACAGAAAAGCAATGATTTTTCGCTATCACTAAAGCAATTGATTATGATTGTAAATCAGTCCAACACGTGACAACTATTTATTGTTTGATAATAATACACATGTATGAACCAAGAAATGTAGGACACCTGCTAAATTTAGAAGTTCAGCGGATCCCAACCTTTTTGTGGTTTAGTATTTTGCGAATTCCCCTAGTCCTATTTTTTTCTTTCTTTCTTTCTTTTATGAAACAAAACTCAAAAATTAGCTGGAGAAAAATTGCCCACTTGCAGGTCCAAATAATTATTTTCTCAATTACTTGAAAGAAAATGCAGTGCAATGTGCATTTTAAAATCGACAGGTGGCGTTCTTTTAGTTCTCAGATCATAGCTATCTGCATCTTATGTTATCAAAAACATTTCGACAGCCACCAAATTGTTAGCGAGGGGAAAAGCGCTGCTGCAGACAGAAACCTAAAAGCCAGTGTCACTGAGCCGGGCGATTGAAAAACCCCAACACAACCACGTCTCATCCCATTTAATGGATCACTTTGGGTCACATTTTATTAAAGCAGTTTTCAAAGTGAAACTTGGTTCCTGTGTCTATCCTGATTATTTCCTGTCCCTGATAATGCCATCACCCTGTTGAGAATGGTGCGCTCAAATTCAACACAATAAGGCTTGAGACAAAGTATAAGCTAGAGTTCTTGTGAACTTTGCTTTATTCCTGCAGTTTCATCAATATGACCAGATTTGTAGTGTACAGCACCTGTACGCACCCAAACTGTGGCTCTCTTGACGACTGTATTATATCATTTCCATTTTCAGATGGTTTATAGTGCTCAGGAAGGTGTCAGTCATTTTATTTCATAACCAAAACCTGCATTAGACTTCTGTACTGTTTGCTGTATTCATTGATCATCATGACTCTGGTTCAATGTTACAAGCCTCTATTATTCAGCAGTAGACATGTGAACGAACGTTTTATTTAGGGACATGAGAGTTAAGAACAAAACTGGCAAAAAAAATAATAAAAAATGTATCATTTTCTTTTTCCTTCAAAATAAAGCATCAGTTGTTGTTTTTTTGAAAGTGTAATGCGAGGAATAAGGGGATGACCGGTGCACATTTCGGCACATGCTTGGTTCCAGGGGGTCCAAACGGCAAAGACGTTTGGATTTATCAGCCTGTCTGGGCAGGAACCAAAAGGTATAAATAGCAGTCAAATGAGCCACAAACGGGCCCGGGCTCCCCGCGTAAAAACACCTCCGATGAGGAGATTATAGGTGGCTGTTTAAATCATAAACGGCGGATATAGTCCAGTTGTTTTTAAAGCGACTAGACTGTGGGACTTCAAATAACAAAAGCCCTGCGCTACTTCCTTTTTGCAAGTGAAAAGAGGTGACGCTGTGCGCAGATTGACACGCCGCTCAGCTGCCCCCGCCACCGTGGGAACCGGGCGCCTGTGTGTGTCTGCGTGTGTGTGTGTGAGAAAAGACAGAGAGAGAGAGAGAGAGAGAGAGAGAGAGAGAGAGAGAGAGAGAGAGAGAGAGAGAGAGAGAGAGAGAGAGAGAGAGAGAGAGAGAGGTGAGGGGGGAAGAGAGGAAAGGATGGGGGGGGAGTGCAGTGGTGACAGACGCAAACACGGTGAGAAGGAGAGAATACGTGCTATAGTCGCCGAGAAGCAAGCAGTGAGAGAAACCGCCGAGAAGGAACATCTCTGCCTCGATCAGAAAAGCTCCGTTTGGCGGCTCCGGAATTTATCTCATCTGTGTAACACTTTCTGAGCGAGCAGCTCGCTGCTCTAATGGTTTCACACTGTCCTAACCTTCCCACACCCCGAACGGCTCATTTCGGCGCACATTTTGACCTGTGATGCGCGCGTTTGAGTCGTGCGGCTGCAGCGGCGGAGATCCCACGGACGAAGAAGCCGCGCGTGCAGATTTCCAATGCGGGGCGGCGGCATTGACTGACTGCAAACATGAGCTAAATGACAGGCGCCTGTTGAAATCAGAGGAAGCCGAAAACTCTGCGCCTTCAACAATTCAAACTTTACCACACTTTAGATAACAAGTCAACTTGCACCGCGGTCATTTATTTGTGCATCATCTGATAACCCAATGTTTTTGTGAACATGCTGCCTGTGAAGGCAGTGAACAGGAGCCATTGTTAACCTGTGGCCACGGTCCTGTGGATCCATTTCTCAGCCACCTTCTCCACGCAGATTTTGCTGAAGCCGGATGTGTCCCAAGTGAATCTCTGCCGATGTGCTTCATGTTTGCAGCTGACTTGGTTGACCAAGGATCGGCAACATTAACAACACCCTATGAATGTTTTTGCTATGTCTCACAAACTAAAATAAGCTTCAATTCAGCAACACATCTGGGACCCATATGTTTCCTACTTTTAATCCAAAGGGTTTGCTTTCTTTGTTTTTTCCACATCAACCAAGTAAATATAACACGGGAGTTTATGTAACCTGTGGAAAATCCCATATGGACCCCATAAGTATCATGCTTGCTGATGAAGATAAGTTCACACTCAGCATCGCCTCTACAGTCTCTAAGGGCCCCTCTCTTTGTCTTGAGTTTTCTTGAATCAAATCTATAATTAACAAAAGGAGAATACGCTGCAGTTTCTGATTTTGGAAAACATAATCATAACAATTTCTGCGATGCATTTTTTTTAAAAGTTAGGGCAGTCTTGTGATTGGTCCCCAAACTGACTCAGCAGCAGCATGACCATCACAAACATAGAACAGATGGCTCTCAACACCTCCCACCCCCACTTTTTGGATCACATGAATGGACAGAAACGCCAGAGAAAGAAGTGTGGCGAGCTCTCCAGGGTTCCTGGATGAAAATATCAAATGAATCCCTTTAAAATGACATGTGTGCAAAGGGACTTTGAAAAGTTTGTGCCAGTTCCAACATAAAAACACAGTTCACAGATTGGGAACTCATTAAAACCTTTGAATTTCTCAGCGCAAAGAAAAAAAAAAAGTGTAAGACCTTTGTGCAGTTTGTGTTTTGTGTCCTTTATTCCCTCGGTCTTTGCAGAACACTTTCTAGAAAACCAGGAAAATCTGTCGGCCATCACAGCTTTAGTTGGAGTCAGTTTAAATACTTGGAAAGCATGCGCACAAACTGAAGGAGCCAAAAGTTTCTCTTTTGGTTGAATTTATCCCCCAAATACAGCTTCACTGTTTTTCCAAACTTCACACCTTCTGTTAATATCACACATACTTTGACGGAAAATAAAACTTTTTTTTAATATCAAATGCGCGCGTTACGCGTGCGTAAATGCGCACAGTAATAATAAGAGTGACCAAAACTCACGGAGGATATACTGAATATACCGCTGTCTCTATAGCTGAGTATGGCTATAGATATAGATGCATTTTTTTTGTTGGCAAAATGCATGTTTGTTTATAGTCATAAGTTCAATATTGTGAATGGGGCGTCGGATAAATCGAGGCAACTCGGTGCTCTGATTCGAGATCTGACGCTTGGGGCCGAAGGGACCGGGGCCAGACAAGACAGGGGGAGACTCCCCGTCCCCTGTTCTCCCGGAATGTTAAAAAAAAAAAAAAAAAAAAAAAAGAAAGAAAGAAAAAAAGAAGAAAAAGAAAAACCCACAGAAATGTTGGCTTCTCATTCACAGAGAAGAATTAAACCATGAAGGAAATGATCCTTTATTTCTTTATTATAACCAGTTTCTTTCACATACACAGAAAAAAAAGAATGCAAGTGTGTGTGTGTGTGTGTGTGTGTGTGTGTGTGTGTGTGTGTGTGTGTGTGTGTGTGTGTGTGTGTGTGTGTGTGAATGTGAGGAAGAGAGAGTGAGAAGGAGGTGACGTTTAACCAGGAGGGAGGGTCCTCTGAATCCAATTCATTCCGGACACCACGTGTCCTCAGAGCGTGGGAAAGAGGCGAGCTTTTCTTCCCAGCGAAGAAAAAGCGTGGATCAAATAACACGGCGCTGCAGCGCAGAGCTCTGTGCAGACAGGAGCTGTGACCACCCGGACAAGGACAGTCCGGGAGCCGCATCATGTCTGCTTTATCCATACCAATAAAATATTTCAGGGGAGCTTAATGCAACTGCAGCAATTACAAAGTCTTATTTATGAAAGCTTATGGCTGTAAGCCGAGATGCGAATGTGTGTGTGCATGTGTGTGTGTGTATGGTTCAGGCTGTGCGACAGAGCAGAATGAGTTTGCATGAGCTATATCTTTATTGTAAAGCAATGATTTGCAGATTTCGGATCTTTTTACACAGCGCTGCGCGCATTGGTTTCTCATCAACCTTTTCCCAGACCATTAAAGATAATTTCTAATGACTTAATTGGGAGCAATAATCTAAATTCCAAAGTGGATATGCTATTAAAAAGTTTTTATGTTTGCTTGAAAGTTTGTTAGGAAACTCATTACTAAACTATAAAGTTGAGAATTTGTCAACACCGTCAGTGGACTTTTTCTTTATTTGAACTTTGACTACGTTTCTATAATTTGGACTAATTTTTAATGTTTCCAACTACATTTTTCACATCAGAGTCTCCCGGATTTTTCTGTGACATCTTCAGATACAGTTACATTTTTAAATCACTGTAGCTGAAGTCTCTTCAGCAGGTGAACATAATGTACATTAACAAATAAAAATAAATGGCAAGTTTAATGTAGCTGAAATTTTCTTTAAAAAAAAAACTAATTTGACTAAATAAGATGGGAAAATTGTTATGCTGAACATAATAACAATCGCATTTATAACTTATGCAGAGAATTTCTTGCAGTGTAGCACAAAAGGAAGTGACCACACAGCAATGGTATACATTTATAATAAAAATGTTTAAATGATTCGTTAATTAGTTTATGGCAAGATTGGCTAAATGTTTTAGTTTAATCACACTTATTAAAAGACATATCAATATGATTGACAAACACCTGAACATACAGGTGATGCTAACTTAAGTATCAATATAAGCATCTCAAACCCCAGATGTTGTTCTGCAGCTGTTGCCGCTTAAATTGAGAAACCGAACACTAATTTTCCTCAGTGACTATGAGCCGTCTGAAAACCACTGCGGCCGTTTTGATGCCTGTGATCAATAGAAGAAAGCCCACATCTGGCTATCGTTAGAGATTCCTACATTTTATGGGTGTATGCCTTTTGTTGTCGCTTTAACAGAACGCACACCACATACATTTACGGAAAATACCAGAAAATCTATAGTAGCACGAACCTCACACTCCTTGGGCCGTTTTGGATAAAGGCTCATGACAAATTTAAAGTGAGATTAAGAAAGAGAGCAGAAAATATGAGTGGATTCGTCTGGTATGGGGAGGTTTCTTCCAGGAGATCTGAACCACCTATTGCCAGAAACTCCCCCATGTTGGTGTTACGTCTGAAACACACAATCAAACTTTAAAAGATCTCATCAGACTGTCCATTCTCAGTCCAACAGTCCATGCGACTTGTTTTTAAGAACACGGAAAATGTGAAAAAAAAAAAAAAACATCCAGTTACAAGACTTACTGAACGTGTTGCATTCCAACAGCAGTATTTATCACGCACAATTTGTAAAAAAAAAAACATTTAATCTAAGCAGCATTCTTCAGTGAGGAAGAAAAAATTATCTAATACCAATAAATCACTGGTACAGCTAGACTTCGGTTTGTCTCGATGTGCCAATATTTAGCTTCTATTCGCCGCAGCTTAAGAACTAACTCCTTAAAAACCTGATATGAACGGAAACAAGACATTTTTAAAATGATAAGTTTCTGGGAACTTTGGTTTAGTAATCCACCACTCCCTCTTCACCTGGTATAAGCATGACATAACACAAATGCCATTCAAATTGGAAAAAGCAAGACAATTTACAAATTAATTAAATTGAAAAAACAAAAATCATTTGACACAAAATAAACTTTGAGTCTGGACAAGAACTAATTTCTCTTCTGTCTTTTTTATGTTTTTTTTTAACCACCACACACAGTGAGCAGTATGGTCATGTAACGGCCACAAACCTCAATGTACATGTTAATCAGGTTTTGTTGGTTTTTCTACCAACAAAACCTGAAGGTGGAGTTTTAAAAACTCTTGTGGGACTTCAACAAGAACTGTTTTGGTCACCCAAGACTAAGATTTGAATCTTCAGCAACAAATACTTGGGTTGCATCTTGTGTGAAACAAAAGTTATTTATTAATAACTTGCAGAGCACTTTGAAGTATGGAGGAGGATCTGTGATACTGTGTCCTAGCTTTTTAACATGTCATAAAGGACTCCTTAAAAACATCTTCAAATAAAAATTCAGCCTCTGCCAGTGTTGGAAACATAAAATTAGCTTTCTTTCATTGTCATGTCAGTTTCCTAACCTGACATGACACCTATAGAAAATCCCATAGGTGAGCGAAAGAGAAGCGTTTATAAGGATTGTGCATAATCTTGTCCAAAAGAGGAAACATCAAGCAATATTCATCCTCGTATTTTCTAACCTTCTCCAACAGGAGGGAGTCCAGTACTTGTGACACACACATGATTCATGTAGTTATATACGTAGTTCTGAACTTGGGATGATTACCTGAATAAAAACCATTACAGCCTTGATTTTTCAACATTTTAATTTAATTTAAATCTTTAGGTCCCAATAGACAAGGATGCTTTCTATACCTTTTCTTGTCAAAAATCAACAACGTGACTTAAATCTATCAGCTAAAACTCCTGGGCTTGGAACTGCTGGCATTCCTTCATCAGACACAGACTGCATGAAAGATAAATACACAGACCTGAGCAGACAACTGAATTATCGACAAATAGTATAAATAAAAACTTAGTAGAAAATATAAAAATGAGAATCAATTGAATGGCCCAGCAATGGAGATGTGATCCTTTTCTGTTACGTGTAAGACTTCCTGGAACAAAGAGAGGACACGGCCGTAGTGAGAGCCTTCCCAGAACACCTTGCCACATCTGGTGCAGACATAGAACAGGGGTATCCTCTGCAGCAAGGCGGGGGGCACAGTGTGGAGCTGAATGGGCGACCCCCCGGGAAAGGTCATGGTGTCGCGGTCCAGTCCTGAAAGGGAGGCCCAGCGACACTGAGCGGCGTACCTGGGGGGCTCAGGGGTCACGCTGGGGGTCAGGATGTCATCGGGCCTCCACTCTTCCTGTTGACAGGATTTCTCAAGCATGTGGTCAGTGGTGTTGTGATCCTGCAGAAATCCTGAAAAAGAAAGGCAGAATTAACAATTACATTTTTAATTCCATACAGATAATCCTAATATAAACACTGATAAATTTCCATTTGCATATCGTATACCTTTTTCTTTGAGCATCGTTTCCATGTCGGCTCTGGGAATGGACACATATTCATCGCTGTTACAAGCCTAGATAAAAAGCAGAGCAACAGATATGAAATATGAGCAAAAGAATCTGCTTCAAAACCACAAGGACACATATATGTTTATTTGTTTGTATAATATTCATAAAAATAAAAACTGGGGCCTAATTCTAATCTTTAAGCTAAAAAAGATAAATGAATAAATAAATAAATAAATAAAAAGCAAAAATTTTGTCTCAAATTAAAAATTAATTTGTACTTGAGTTTTTCCCATGAAAAATTCAGTATTAGGGTAAGACCTACCATAACACTGTTAATTGGTCAAGTTTATTTACATTAAATAAGCTTTATTTTTTCAATTAAATAAAATATCCAAACTGCTTTTGAGATCAAATCAAGCACATGAAATGACAATATTTTTAAATAACATAAGAAATTGAGAATACATCAGCACAATAGACAAAATATTTTAGAGGTTTTCCTTAGTTTGTTCTTCCAGCACCAGGGATAACTTGGTGTAAAAGAATACAGTATTTCACATATGCCTGTTGTTTATCTTTCCAAATTAGATGTATTTTGATTGTTTCGTGGGATACAAAGAGGTCTTAAAATAGTTAATTCCTGTAGCTGTTCAACATTTTATGAAGCTCTCAACAAACCCAGTCCATCTTCTTTATCAGAAGTGTTATTAATTAAACTGTCCTGAATCTGAAGATCATACGGTAGCAGACTTTTAATCTGCTCACCTGATGAGTTTTGAGTGTGTTGTAGGTTTTAGAAATAAACTGAAAACAGATTTTTCTTTTCACATTTAGAATAGTACTTTAGATAAATTCACTTTCTACTTGAGCTTTAATTTGGCTCATATTTCACTTTTAACAATCCATGATTTTGTTTTAGAAATATTGTTATATTTGTGCTTAGTTTATTTAATTTTTATCCCCCTTTATGAGTTTATCAGCCAAGTTTTAAGACTACAACTACATTTCCCTCACACACATTTTATCACAAACTATATAAATTTGCTTTTATTTTTTTCTTAAATTACATTCATCTTTATTTTTAGTTGAATTATTTTATTCACTATTTTCTATGTCATATCAAACAATGCATAACATTATACAATAATGGCCATTACTGCAATCTGAAATGTATTTATTTAGGATTTCCTCAGATGATACAGAAAGTGTATTTAGTATTTGATCAGGACATTTAAATGTTCATTGGTAACAAGTAGATAAAAATGATTATGTAAATCTAACATTTGAATTAATATTTTGTCATTTTTTATTTTATTTGATGGGCCGCTTTATGGTGATAGTTAGTTTTCAATGACTGCAAAACAATTGTTGACATTGCGTTTCAAATAAAGTTTGATTGATCAATAATGTAAAAAAAATAAATATGAAGAAATACAATTACATCCATAATTATTGAATTCTCAATAATACTACATTCAAAAACCAAATCATCATCACAGCTTTATCAATTTCAACCATATTTTGGTAAAATAAAATAAATTAAAAAAAAAAAGCCTGTCAATCAATTGGAGACAGTAAAATGATATGTGAGCCAACAACTAGAAAAAGTATCACCAGCCAGTGATCCATCTTCATTGGATGGAACCTGAAAGCATTGATGTAAACACAGCCTGATGTAAAAGATAAATTTTCTGCAGATTCAGCAGTAGCAGGAAGGCTATGCTCAGCGATGTTTCTTAGCTTCAAAGCAAAGTGTCAGGCATGTTTAACTATGTGGAAGCGAGGCTGCATGGCCTGCTCACTAGTGTTGACCCTTTCACGTCGATAGCAATCAGATGTTTTCCCAGGCTGTTTGTCTGGTGTGAAAGGGTATAAGTGTTACTCAAAGATCCAGTCGGAGTGTTAGTGTGTCAGTAAAGACACCATTTATGCCGGAGTGATTTTCACACGTTCCTGCTGGTCTGTCCTTCTCAAGGTAAAGGTCTCACTTGGTGGGACATTAGTGATCTCCTGCTTGCCAGCCCCTAACATGAACACACACTTGTCTGTGAGCCGTTCTGACAGCACGTCGCTAAAGGCCTTGTCAAAAAACCTGAACTCCACCCTGGAAACAGCATTCCTGTCAGGAGTGGGCAGTAAATCAAATCTGGCTCATACGAGAGATCCTTAACAGGCTCGCTTAATCCTTGTCACTCTTTACCTGGAAAAAAATAAATAAAAATCAGGAGCGAACCCGGAGACTACGCCCACTCCGCACAAAAGCAGGTCGTCTCCTCTGTGTGCACATGCGGAGCGGTGTTTGCCTCTGTGGTGACTGAGGTCAGGACATGAGAAAGCTGTAAGAGACAGTGGAGGTGTGGGAACAGCAGAGGTGTCTGCTTTGTGTTTACTTCTCTCTTGGTGCATCCTATTTACTCTGCCTCACATCACACACAAACCAGTAAAAATGCAACCAGAAGAGCTGAGAAGGGGCTCAAAAGTTGCATCACATGCGCAAACATATGGGCATGCATGATGGCGGCGACCAGCACGACAGAGCGAGCTATTTGTTCAGCTCAAAGTTTCCCAGCTTGGAGCATGCCAGAACCTGCTCTGAACTCTGTAGGCTGAACCACAGACTGGCAGACAAACACATCATCTCACACACGCAACCTCCATATTCTGTAACTTCTAAACCAAGAAAATTGCTATCCTGGAGTGATTTAATACACAATTAAGTTCAGTATGAAGAGAAATCACTTTAATTTGAACTAATCATGTTATGTTAGTCATTTTAAAAGACCTTGCAAATAAAGGTACATGCTGGAGCTTTAACAGGAAAGAATAAGTTATCATTAACATTACATAAAATAAATTAAGAATAAACTAAGCTGAAATGTATTGACTCTTTAACTTGCTTTTCCAGCCCACTCACCTAACTTCAAAGTTGTTTTATAAAATCCAGGTCAATCCTTTTCAAATATAGATTCTCTCATGATGAAGAAGCTTGTAGCCGATAACATGAAGAAGATTTTACATGCAATAAGACAGTTTTATCAGTAGAAACGGACAGAAGTAATAAATAAGCAAATGCACACATTTAAGCCATAATAGAATATAATTTAGGAGTCTGGAAAATCTGCCCATATGTGAGGCTTTTAAAGGCCCACACTTGGGAACATTAAACATGAGACCCAATACAAAACCCTGTTGCACTACTTGCACAGTTTTGGTCTGGTCCAAACATGCAGCTGCCATGAGATGGCAGATTAAAACACAAATTGTTTTCTTCTATGTAGCTTCAGTAAAACCTGAGCTGACAGATTTGTCAAATCTATTTACAAAAAAAGTCAAACTTAGAATGTTTTCACATACTTCAGATTATGTCTGAAACCAACATATGGCTTTAGTTTGTCCGTCCTGACACAATTAATAGAAGTGATGGCTCCATGTTCTCCAAGTGCATGTGTCCTCTGAATCGCTCTTTATTTCATAGAAACTGTGAAACTAAGTTATTCTACTTATAGCTTTAATTTAGTATTATTAGTAACATAAGGAGTATTCAATGTCTTCCCATTTCTGCTTTAAAATATATTACACCTTTTTTTGCTTCTTCAGCAAGTCACAGTATAGTCATACTGTGACTAATGTGTGATGCTGATTTTAAATAGAAGTTGATAGAAAAAAAGAGGGAAAAAAGGGGACTGATGAAAGGAGACAGAAAAAGTATGGGGTGGGTGATTATTTTCCCCCTGACGTGCTCAAACAGACAGACACACACGCTCTCTGCACTGTAGGCAGCTCCCATGGGAAAATCCTCCACCAATCTCCAAAGGCGGTGCTCCATTAGTCACATGGTTTAACCAACCAATCAGGAGCCGGAAAACCAATTCAAACTGTGGTTAGTCAGGTAAGGGGCAGCGTGGGAACCGGTGGGAAGAAGAGGGGAGCGAAAAAAAATGCACCTCTATTTCCTTTGAAATCTCCCTCAATTTCTGTTTGTATGCAAATTTTAAATACAAAGAGGTTTAAAAAATGCATACGCCACACAACATAAAAGTTCATGTTGCAGTATAAAACATAACCTTTTTTTCTAGAAACTACAACTGTGCTGCCAGGAAAGCAAAGGACAAAAACCTAAAAAAAAAAATAAAAGGTTGTTCCCATGATCTCATGTCTGGGAAACTGTGCCATCACTGATTTATTCTGCTGAGGAGACAGAAAATTCTGCTGATGAAGTAAAATCATTGAGATTTACAAGCCCTACTGAGACAGGCACCACTTCATTGTCCAGCAAGGAGCAAAGCCTCTGGATGTCTTTGTTGCTTCTTCATATTGGGCAGAATAGCACTTCAAATTTAAAATAGCATACTAGTGTTGCAGAGTCAGCAGCGACAAAAGCTTTTGGTCTTTCTATTGAGGTGCCTGCTTTTGGTTACAGAAGGGATGGGCTACTTCTGGTACCAAGCTATACAGACTGGAATCATTTCATTGAAGTTGAAACATGGAGATGCAAATTAGAAACACATGATGTATAGGATTAATTTTTTTGGTGTTGTCTGCATCACTGGGAAATAAAGAACAGATTGATCTGCCACCAGCTGATACAGAAATTGAGGAATTCAGTGTATGAATTCATGACAGAATAACTTATCATTGCTAGTGACAATTCAGTTTTTATGTATATTTTGTTTCTACTTGCATTTTTTTATAATAACATATTTAAAAACATAGATTGTCAGTTTTTAAAAGGATGATATCAGGAAAAATGTTGTGTTGTGTTTACTGTTCTGCAAAGTGCAACTGATACAGTTTTTGAATGTTAAACTGAAATAAATACTGCGCAAAAAATTACATGTTATGAGCAGCCATAAAAATGGTTTGCATAAGAATGTCTACTAATGAGATGGTGTTTGTATTGTTTTTACAAACAATACAAGACAAATGCCCATAGTTACCTGGTATTTATAGTGTTCTGGTTGATGACCCGTTTTAGTTTTTACAGCTCCTATTGGATGTTCTCAAAGGTTTTTTTTTAGGATCTAGAAGTAACTCAGAGATGGAAGCTCTGCAAACTTGCAAGCCT